GCTCTCGGCGAGGGCAGGGAGGGTGAGGTGACGCGCACATGTTGCGTGCGCACGAGCCGGGCATAGGGCCCTTCAGCTCAGGGGCCCGTTTTCCCGCAAAAGAGCCCAACTTTTGAATTTTGAGGACCTTTATGGCTGGAACTCACATTTTGAGACATTGGGGCGGGGTCTTTTTTTAAGAAGCCATACGGGCACCTTCAACCACAAAAGTCCAGTGGCCTTCGGTGCCATGTGGACACGCCATCTCCGGGAGGGGGGGGGAGGGGGCATGGCCCCATTAGCTTCCTTTCAGCTTCGTCATTGGCCTTGCGAACGTGACCCAAAGCAGGGCATTTTGGCCGGTGTCATTCTTAGACTGTTCCACTTGTTTGCTTGTTCGGCTCTTGAAATCACCCATGTATGAGAAGGGTGGGGCATGCAGGACTGAGTATTGTGTTGCGACTGACATGTTTGTTAGTGACACGATTACGAGGCGTTACAGCGTTATCGACCCCGTGCTCGTCGATTCTCCCTTGCTGGGAGGATGCGGATGTGGCTTATGTGTTTAGTCCTCCATGTCTTACGTGATGAGTTTTATGGTCACTACACGCAGCTCTCAGCCAGTGTTGAGATTTTTAGAGAAACTAAAGCCACATCTCGAGACGCGGCAAGGTTATGACTTATGACCTACTAAGATTCAGTGCGAACCAAACAAGCGTCAAGCGTACGAAATTGGCATTCTGAACGCGCTCGTTCCCGTCCAGCCCGTCTTACTGTCGGGGCCTGCACCGGTGGCAGTGTCGGCGTCCCAGCACATGGCGCCGATCCCTCCCCTCCTCCCGCCGTGACCCCCGCCCGTGACGCGCCCCCCCCGGGCCCCCTGCGGCAGTGATGCGGGTCCGGTCGCAGGGCGTAGTCACCTGCCGGCTGCAGGTGCTCACCAAGGACCTGCGGCGGCTGGGCTATGTCAGCGGGCGTCAGCCGAGACGGACGCGCCGAGGCGCGCGGCGCGGCGGCGGCGGCCGGCGTCGGGCACGCCGCCCTGGTCCAGTGACACCCCGGACCGGTCGGTGACGTCACAGGGCGCAGGGGCGTCCGCAGTGGCCGGCGCCGCGGCCCGGCGACGGCGCCTTGGAGTGACCGGCTTGTGACATCACTTGTGGCTTCGCCGGTGATGGGCGGGCCGCGGTGGACGACGGGCGCTCGCGTGGTTCGGATCGGTTTCAGCTCAGTCTTGCGTGTTTATCTGTAGCCGCGATCAGAGTTTCCCGCAGACATGCTGGCTCATCTTTGGGCGCCGTCAGAGGCACGTGCCAGTATCGTGGTGTCACCGGCCGCGGTCGTCCTGCGGGTGTCGCGGCAAAGCTGATTTCTCAATGGGCGCGACTCGAGAACGTCCGCCATTGGTCGCCCTTCTTCGCTCGGTTCATCGACGTGGGACGTTGCCAGCGCGGGACATGAGAAGACATATTGTGAGATGGGGGGGGGGGGGGGGGGGGGAGCCGTTGTGTCTGCTTCAACGCCCAGGATCGCTGCGTCAGAGCTGTGCTTGTGCTCTGGTTCCGTGTTTAGTCTCAATGCTCCCACATGGAACGGCCGGTAGTGTCGTGGTATTGGCTGCATCCGTCCAAAGTTGTGTACAAACGGACCTCGCTTCTCTGCGTGCGAATCGTGTGATTTAGCCGTCCAGATCAATCATATCATTTTCATCGATCAATCTAGTCTTGCTAGTCGTGTGTGGCATGCGTTTTTTAAATCATGCGTAGATGTGACCGTTTACGATCTCAAACTTGCATATGGCTTTATGAGTGACGCGTTTAGAAATAAAACCAGTGCGAGATCATTCTGTGACCTTTGGTGAGACGGCACGTGCTGCTCTGCCTCTCAATCAGTTGGTTTAGAGTCGAACGTAGACCGATCCGTGGCAGGCGTGGAGATAGCAACTCGAATCGCCCATTGGCTCGCGTCACTTCCGGCCAATTGGAACCTGGCCAAGAGAGGAGCCGGGATGGAAGGGGCTTGCCGTAGCACGGCATTGTATGGCGCGTTGAAATGTTTCAGTACGAATTATGCATTCCACGGGAAATTCCATGCTTTTTGTTGCGTCAGGGTCGTCGGAGCTGATGTTTTGGCGAAGACGCTATCACATCATTCCTGCAGAACTTTCGGTCAGCATTGTGAAAACATGTTTGGAACGCACGTTGGCATGTCGATATATTATCGGATATGAAAGCGTCTGTGCAGTTCGTTGTTCCCACGGTCTGATTTTGGGACAAGCGTCCATGCCATACGGCTCCTGCAGTTAGTGAGCGCCCATTCAAGCGCGTGAATGGCCTATTGCTCGGTGCCACCTGCCACGTTCTCCGTGTTAGAACTCCTCACGCAGCTCGACACACATGGATTGTGGAGTAGTATCAGTTTCGGTTATTGAATCGATTCAAGCGTGGAACGGTTACGTCAACGGCAGCAGCTCGCGCAGATGACTGATGCTGTCTCTAAACTATCCTGTAGCCAGTCGTCGCGGCTGCAGGTCGACCGGGCGCCTCTGCACGTCAGTCATAAACAAATGGATAACTGTAAGCGCTGCAGTAGGCCGGATTGGCGCAGCGGTCGAATAACGTGCGGTCAAGTACCGAAGCGAGCAGGAACGGCCCGGGCAGACAGCTTCCAGGTGGCTGCGGCCGCGTCGGGCGCGGAGTTCGCTCGTCCCCGGGCTGCTCCTGGGTCGGGGCGCGGTGGCATGCCTGGTCTCCCGCCGCCCCGCAGTCCTCGGTCCCTGACAGCTGGCGCCCCCTGCCCGTCAGGGGCTCGGCTCGTTCCTGGCGCAGCTGGCCCAAGGGCGGCCTGTCCTCTGCCGTCCTGAACTGGCGACTGAACTGAAGGACTGAAGATGCACGCCTTCTAATACTAGTGGTGCTGAACTTCTGAAGCCCAGTTAATCAACATTGTCCACGATCTGCCTAGATTTCGATAGTCTGTTCGGTCGCCGTAAGATATAGCACGCGTATTTCTGCCCTGCTCGTCACAACGCAGTATCTATGATAATTGTTCATCCCTATTCCCGAGCTCTGTCGAGAGAAGACTCCTCCCACCCTCACCAGCCCCTCTCGAGCGTATAGCCTCCTCCCGCCCTCTCTCCGCCTCACGGTCCGACACTGCTCACCACTCTCCCCCGAGCCCGTCGCCCCTCTCCGGTCTCTCCCACTTGAGCGCCTGCCGCAGCAGGCGTCGGCCGCGTTGGGTGGCCAGCAGGCGGCGCCACGTGTGCACCTCGGCCGGTGTTAGCGCCACCAGGCGGCGCACGAGCGGACCCAGGCGCTCGCGCAGGTAGGCGTCCAGCCGTTGACACTGGGCGGCCGAGTCGCAGTTGAGGTAGGAGCCCCACATGACGGCGCCGGGCAGACCACGAGTGCGCACCTGGCCCAGCATGGACAGCAGGTCGTCCTGCGACCGTGCCAGGGGCGCATTCAGGTAGGCGGTGAGGGTGGGGTAGGGGCACACAGGCTGGCCGTGAGGGTGGAGCAGGGGCGCTCTCAGACTGGCGGGGAGGATGGGCAGGGGCGCTCTCGGGCTGGCGGGGGGTGGGGCAGGGCGCTCTCGGGGCTGTAAGGGTGGGTCAGGGGCGCTCTCAGGCTGGCTGTGGGGGTGGGCAGGGGCGATCTCATGCTGGCGGGAGGGTGGGGTAGGGGCACACTTAGGCTGGCTGTGGGGGTGGGGCAGGGGCGCTCTCGGACTGGCTGTAGAGGTGGGGCAGGGGCACTCTTAGGCTGGCTGTGAGGGTGGGGCAGGGGCGCTCTCAGACTGGCGGGGAGGGTGGGCAGGGACGCTCTCAGGCTGGCTGTAAGGATGGGGCAGGGGCACACTCAGACTGGCCGTGAGGGTGGGGCAGGGGCGCTCTCAGGCTGGCGAGGAGGGTGGGGCAGGGGCGCTCCTCAGACTGGCGGTGGAGGGTGGGGCAGGGGCGCTCTCAGACTGGCGGGGAGGGTGGAGGCAGGGGCGCTCTAAGGCTGGCAGGGAGGGAGGAGCAGGGTTGCTCTCAGGCTGGCTGTAGGGTGGGGCAGGGGCACTCTCAGGCTAGCGGGGCGGGTGCGACAAGTCCAGTACCAGCCTCCCTGGCGCTACCACCAACGCCATTATCTAACTGCGCCACTGAACAACTCAGCTTTTCACCCAAGCTCAGCGGGTATAACAGAGAGTGTGCTCACAAGCATTGGATCGCGGCATCCCAGCGATCTTTCACTTACGCGTACATGCTGGCCAGTGAGACGTTTTGAGTAAAATCTTCTCATCTGCTTAACAACGCAGCCCCAACTTGCACCTCCCGCCCTCAAACCAAACCGGCGCTGGCTTACCTCAGGACAGAAAACTGGGATCGTCGTGGTACTGGAACCAGGTGTACGTGTAGACGGGCACCTCGGCTGCTAGCCGCAGGGCCTCGTCCAGGCGGCCCTCACCGTGGCGCGCCGGTCAGCGTCCGGTAACCCGTTCCGGAACAGGTACACGGGACCGGGGTTACAGGGCGCTGCTGGAGCTCAGGAGCCACGACATCCTGCAGCGGACGGCAGGAGCAATGGCAATAATCCACTTCCGATGCAAAGGCTGGGGTGGGCACGCGGTTGCCATGAGAACGTGCTTACACGAAAGGGTAATGACACAAACGTGGGCGGGATTGTACAAGACGGCAAGCTGGTACCAGCAGCGATGACGGCACGTAGAGTGCAGGATTGTACCGGGCGGGTTATAGCGGGGCCGGCACAGGGACAGGAGCATGCAGCAGTCGCGACAACCATCAGCCGGACGGACCACACAGGGGATGGGTTCTCACCGAGCGGTGACCAGCAGCACTACTACTGCCTGGCTCGGCCGCGAAATGGCAGCACTGACCGGTCGTTTTTGTCGCGCCATGACTGCGGGACAGGTGCCGTTGGGGATGTGCAGGTTCCCGCAGAGCGGATACCTGGTAGTAGCCCCAGGCAGCGGCACGGCGGGCACGCTCGGCCGCCTCCAGCGTCTGCTGAAGGAACAGGCGAGCCCACCACTCAAAGTCCTCCCGAGCCTGCCGGAACCGGTCACCGGTCAAAGCCCCCCCCGAGCCTGCCGGCACCGGTCACGGGTTTAAAGTCCTCCCGCGCCTGCCGGCCCCGGTTACGGGTCAAAGTCCTCCTGAGCCTGCCGGCACCGGTCACCGGTCAAAATCCTCCCGAGCCTGCCGGCACCGGTCACGGGTCAAAGTCCTCCCGAGCCTGCCGGCACCGGTCACCGGTCAAAGTCCTTCCGAGCCTGCCGGCACCGGTCACCGTCATAGTCCTTCCGAGCTTGCCGCACCGTCACGGGTCAAGTCATCCCGAATCTGATAACGCGGGCCACGGATCCAAGTCCTCCCGTCTGAAAAGACGGATCACGAATGAAAGTCCTCGCAGGTCTGATAACACGGACTGTGGATCAAATTTCTCTCCCTGGTCTGAGGTTAGGGGCCGGGGAGCAAAGTCCTCTCGAGTAAGTGGAGAGACCAACACCAACACCAACAGATCACCAACAGTTTTCCGTAGCCTCTCATCTCGGCGTCCTCGCCACGGTCCTCCTAAGCTGCGGGAGAAAAGGGTCACTGCCACCCCGTAAGCGTTGTCATATTTGGATCCAATGCGTTTTTGACGGAGTACTGCGTGACTACGTTTTTAACCTATTATTGCCCGGAGGCTATACCATGACATTTAAGGTCATGCTGCCAATTGTTCGTACACTCGACGTCATGTTGAGCACGAGCGTATTTTCAGATTTTAATCCCATGCATAATAAGGACAGAGCTGTGCTTGCCCCCAATGTTGGTGTGTACGAATAAATGTTCGAATATGAATACGTTGTAAATTGTACCCCCCTCGATATGCCACAATAAGTCTGTTCAGTGTTCGAGGTACAGGCTGATTAGCACGATGTGCTAAGTCTTCCAAATTGTGCTTTTCGCAAAAAAAATATTGTTTGATGTCTCCCGCGCGCTAAAGCATGTCAGATCACCTTGCATGCAAACCGACTGGGCCCAAAACGAAAACGGAGAGAGACCGCAAGTGCGAGAGAGAGAGAGAGAGAAGGAGGAGGAGAGAGAGAGAGGAGAGAGAGAAGAGAGGAAGAGAGAGAGAGAAGAGAGAGAGAGAGAGAGAGAGAGAGAGAGAGAGAGAGAGAGAGAGAGAGCACAGAAAGAACCACAACTCACCGCTGAAGTTGACGTCTGGCACGGATCGTTCCAGGTCCTCCTGGAACCGCTTCAGGTGGACGTCCAGCGACCCCACCTGCGGCAGGCCGCCATTCACTTCCGAGCCGTTCTTCAGAATATTCGGAAACAAACCTGCCGGAGGACAAACGGCGCGCGTCGGAATCACGGGGAACGGAGAAAATCGTCAGCCGAGTGGCGATTTCAGGGGAAAAGTGGAAAAAATGACGTAGTGCGTGTGACAATATGAACTCCGGGCGATTCGACATCGTCTGCAAAGCCCATATCTCATGCTGAATAGCTTTGCAACCCTAGTGCAAGTCGTCGATTTGTTCTTTGCATCCAGTCAACCGACAGGAAATCCGCATGTCCATCCGACGGTCCGCTTCAAGCACAGCAAACGCGTGATTCGCCAGGTGAGAACAGCGCGCTGTGCATGCTCGGCCCGCTGTCTGTCGTACATCACCTGGAGAGTAGAGCAGGGCGATCTGCTCCCCAGCGAACTTCTCGCCGGCGTTCACCGTGAAGCCGTACTGTCCGGGATTGAGGTCGACGCCGAAAGACTGGGTACACGGGGCTGACGGCACGTTCCAGAACACTCGGAACGGCTCGGCGGCCGGCGCCGGCCCGTCCCCCAGCCGCCCGTCTCCCGTCAGTTGACCCGCTGACGCCTGGGTCTCCGACTCAAGGCTGCCCATCAGCTGACTCTCCGTCAGCTGGTTCTCCGTCAGCTGGCTCTCCGTCAGCTGACTCTCCGTTAGGTGGCTCTCCGTCAGCTGATTCTCTGTCAGATCAGCGCTCGACAGCTGACCCTCTGCAAGCTGCTCCAGAGTCAGCTGATTCACTGACGCCTGGCTCTCCGACTCCAGGCTGCTCGCCAGCTGACTCTCCATCAGCTGACTCTCCGTCAGCTGACTCTCAGTCAGATCAGTGCTCGACAGCTGACCCGCTGCAAGTTGCGCCAGAGTCAGTGGTCCTGTCGCCAGCCACGCCGGCTCCGGGAGCACCACCTGAACGAGGGCCAGGACGGCCAGCAGGCGGGGAGTCATGGCGGACAGCTGCGACTCAGAGGCAGACGGCGGCTGCGTGGACGCGGGTGCACAGCGCAGCGGGCGCCGGTGCCTACTGAGGGGCCGGTCACTGCCTTAACGGGATCCAGCAGGCTCCAAAGTGCACGATGGCAGCCGCTGGGGTTAGCCGCTGCTTGACAACCGGGGCCGTCTCGACACACGTGTTCTCGGAGGCGTCCTTCCGGCTGAAACGGTCCTGTCGAACGTCAGCAGTGACCGAAGCCAGCGGTTTTCACTGTTCTGCGGTGCTCCGCGCCCAGCACCACCGAGTTCTGGACGGCGTGGCCAGCGCAGCACCACCGGTCACCTGCTCAGTACCAGCGCCTGCAGACCGTGCCTGCAGGTCGGTACCAGCCTGCCGCCTCGCACCCCGCGCCTCCGCCGCTGACCACGTCGCGCGGCAGCAGACCGCACGTGCTCACCCTAGTCGCCCCGCGCTCTCTGCCGTCGCGCTCCGTCGGCCCGGCCTCAGCCGACTCCGGTCGTAAAGCGGGCCGCGCAGCCGCCGGCACCGCGCCGGCGCCATTTTTGCAGGGACGAGAGAAGGCGGGCACATGACGCCACCCATTTGACGAGCGCGAGCGCCGGACAAAAAGGCTCGCTCGACACCCTTCGAACCGGTGACCTGTCGACCGTTTTTCCGGAACCGTCTCCGCCCGTTTTTCCGGGCGGGGACCGTTCCACCCGCGTCAGCTACCGGACCTCATCATGTACCGTTAGCCAAGGATGCTAGAGCGGCCATCGCCCCTGCCGTGGGCCGCGAGTCGAGGGCGGCCCGCGTTCTGCGAAGCGGCAGGAGCTGCCACGCCGCCGTTGCGGTGGATGGCCGGCAAAAACGCGCCGCCTTCCCCTGCGCTGCTGGGAACGGCACCCACACCGGCGACATTGGGGGAGGCCTTCATATTGTCCAAAGTACAGAATGTCCAAAGGTACAGAACGTCCAAAGTGCAGAATGTCCAAGGTACAGAATGTCCAAAGTTTATAATGTCCAAGGTACACAATGTTCAAGATGAGAAATAACTTCCAAAATGGCGCAGGGTGAAAGGAGCCCGTTTCGTAATGCCCAATGTACAGCGTGTCCAAGGTACGGAATGTCCAAAGTACAGAATGTCCAAAGTACAGAATGTCCAACGTACGTATTGTCCAAGGTACAGAATGCCCAAGGGCCAGAGCTTCCAAAATAGTTCTTGGGGGGGGGGGGGCCGCCAGGGTGTGAATAATTGCCCTTATTGGTAGGCAGCGTTGCTCCGCCCGCCGTCGGCCGAGAGCGTACAGTCGACGCCAGTGCGAACACTACAAGCATGCGGTCGGCGTGGGGGGGGGGGGGTCGCATAGCAACGGATTCATTTCGCACGCTGGTGCAGAGATGGTGTCGGATGCTGTTGGTCGGCGAGGCTGCGCTCGACTTGCAAGTGATCGTTGAGTACGAGACGAGTACCGTGGAGTGGGGCGTTGGACACGCGCGGAGCTGCTGTGAAAGCGTCGCAGCGTTGCCCTTAGCCGGCCTGGAACTTGCTCTGTGTTCGACCGGGGGCGTGTTCGCTGTTTGGTCATAGCTTTATGAAACTAGACCCTCTTGTTGCAACTACTTTTTATTTTTAGTGATCGCTGTCACGTCTTCACCACAACTAGCCTACAGCGTCCAAATGAGTAAACCTTGCAAGAGAGGGGAAAGTATGGGTATCAATAATTTAGGCTTCCTATCGGGTTAATGGCCTGTTTCTGATCATGTATCACTGGCATTAGGGCAGGGATGTAACATATTTCAAAGCACACTACATTACAAATCATAGGATATGGTTCAATGAATAGCCATTTGTGGTCAAAATACTGCACATGATGCCATTTAGAACAATTAGCTGGTGCATCAACAGATTGGTGGAGACTTTTCATTTATGTGGATTCCCCACGTCAATTTATTGGGTCTGTCAGGGGCGGCGCCAGGAGATGTAAGTTGAGGAGAGGCTTTTCCAGCGGACTTATTGAACAACATGAGGTCTCCTTTCAGAGGGGGGGGGGGGGGCACACTGTCACATGTGGGCTGGGCAGCACTCACTAACTGATGGAGCTATGGCGGCGTTTCAGCTACTTAAAGTCACACAAGTCCAATAGGACGCACTGATTAACAAGTCATGAGATCCTGCTGGGCTGAGAGGTGGCTGTGCTTGGTTGCATGTATCTAGGAAGTCAGGCTGTAAAATGGCCGAAATCTGAGGACAACTTCGGTTTTTTAAATATGCTCGCCCTACAAGGGAAGTCGGTGACACTGCCTCTGTTCATCGCATGAGAGCAAACCCAGAAATTTATCACTCGTTAAAAGAAAAAGGCAATGCTTACACGTGTGCTACCCGTTAATGCTTGAAACAGTACCGTAACACACACACACACGCGCACACACACGCACGCACGCACGCACGATTTTTTCTCACAATTTTAACATCGATGCCAAAACACAGGTACGTCAGTATACCGGGAGACCCGTGGCTACGCCAGGACTCTAGGCCAATATTTCCAAAATATTATGGCAAATCAACAGTTCCAGGTAGTGCACGTGGTCACCTGTGAATAAGTCACCACACAACGCACAATTCAAAAGGCCTGTGAATGATCGTAGCTGTTGTAAATATGTGCAGATCCCGACAAGAAAAGTATCAAAATAATCAGGCATGCAAGCTTCCATATCCTATTGCAAGGCACACGGCACTATGATGAGGCTTGCACGAGACATCAATGGCTAGGCCAGAAGGTTTCGCTGGACTGTATCACAGATCAGAAGGCAATGCGCTACAGGAAATCAGTGTCAAAATAAATCAGCAGACAAGTGTTGCTGAACGTACCTTACCTGAACGACAGCGCTAACAATCAGTATTTCGCGATGGTGCTTGCGAGTTAATCCTCTGTCAACGTTTACCGACACGTAGCGATTCTTATATCTTTGGTCCGCATTGTCTTATGCCGTTGCTGAAATGTGCACCTAAAAGTTTAAGTATGTTATAATGTGTACCATTGGTGCATGTATGTCGACTACCTCCTCCCCCAATTGTGAGCGCACGCTCTCCGTAGATGTGTCCCCCAGGTGGTCATTAAACAAGCCCGAGTGTCATGCATTATTCTTCTCACATACAGTTCTCACTGGAAAAAGATTATAAGATATTTTGTGTACATCCTGTGCGTGCAGAACCATATACCATGTATTGTGCATTCTGCTCTATTTTCTGCATTTTACTTCCGGTCCATTGAGACCATCGGTGTAGGAACAGGGGGCCAGGGGACCATGGACCCCCCCACTTTCAAGGTGGGGGGGGGGCTTGCAGTGTTAACTGCCCCCCCCCCCCCCACCCTCCCTCCACTTTTCAGGATTAAGGTTGCATTTGGCTTACTTTTGCACTACATATAACATGCAGTGCCGATTTACTTATTTCACCAGACATCGCCCTTAAGATGCGTCATCTTTTTCGTTTGCTCATTGGCCATCGCTTTGTGTTACAGCCGCAAGGGCGAAGCCGCATGCGATGGAGACTGCAACGCCGGGTGTCGAGGCTGTCGTTGCTATGACATGGGAGCGCGCGCTGGCGTGTTTAAGACCATATTACGTAGTTTTCTTATCAGCAATCAGTTATGACAGGATCTTGAGCATATTAAGACGAACATGGGTTAGCCATGTTAATGGAAATTAGGAACCCCATTTCATCTAGAATCTACCATCAGGAAGAACTCAATATCTCTGAAGAACACAGAAAAACACGGAACCAGAGTCTATGTGACAATTTTTGGACTATTCGCGGTGATCATGGATGTTGTTGCGCCAATGAGGGTTCCTGTGCTGATCTGGGGCTAACTGCGCAGGTCAAAAGGCCTCCCATGTCAGGGATGGGAACAATGTGGTATGCTATATCCTTTTAATGGCCTCCGGATCGACCAGGCGATCCCACTCCGTGTCGCCAGAATGATAGCCAGAAGACACTTCGCGATGGAACGGAATGACCCTTCAACCCTTGACCGGAAACGGTTATGTACCCCCTATGTTCTTCTCAAGAGGCCCTTACCCGGAAGGAAATAAGGTGTCTCATTATTGTTGAGTAGAGTGGGATTTTATTATTGTTGAATAGGATGGGTAGAAATCAGCATAAAAACGAGCAAGTTCATGCCATGCTTGCCTGAGAACGCTTTTTTCAGAATGTACTAGCAAAACAAATTACATCAAAATGCTTGAGCATACCCGCCCCCAACCTCGAGAGCAGGGATGGTCTGGGTTGCAGCTTCCGAAAAACCAAAACGATCTCGGCCACTGCAATTGCCACCAGACGGCGGGCGCCGTGTTAATCTGTCTTCTGATAGACAAATACTTGCAAAAAACAAGAAAAATAGAGACCCTTCCTTCACTCCTCCAGTTCAATCACCAGATTCCGCCCCCACTTCCCGGTGCTTTAAGGGCAAATCCGTTCTTTTCATCAGTCAAAAACTTGCACACGAGAGAAATATGCGCTCAGTACTTTTGCTACACTTTACAATATTCAGAATACTTTTCAGGAGCGCCATCATTTTCTCCAACCGTTGGCCACAGCTTGGTATCAGCTACCAGGCCGACGTTGCGTAGCCTATGGGAGGCTGCAACACTTGGTTGTCGAGGCTTGTGGTTTCTAAGATTTTGGACTGCGCATTGCTCAAAATGACGTCACACAAAACTTGTATTGCATATCGTTTACAGTTTAAAAGGGTAAACTTCAGAAGCGTCACCATTTTCGTCCACCGGTGGGCCACGGTTTAAAAGTTAGCCACTGGGCTATAAATATCCGCAGATAAATGAAGGCTGTAACGCCTGGGTGGTGAGGGTTTTGTTGCTAAGATTTGCGGGCGCGATGTAAAAAAGGATGTTACATAAATTAAATCACTAAGAGATTTCAAACTGAATGGTGTACATTTCCAGACAACATGGCCTGCTATGTTAATGTACATTTTTGACCACTTGATTTGCCAATTTTCATCTTCCAATTTGGATCAAACACATCGATCTACAATCTACCTTCGCGATGTCCTAATGTC